AATTTTCAGTATCAGTGTTTTAATGTCACTATTCAACCTGTTCTACTTCTGACAATGTTCTTTACATCGTGTTTTCAACAGTTGGTAATCAACATATATATTCAATCCACATATATATATAAATACATTTTTTCATTGAAATATTTTTTCTCAGCACGGTTAAAAGAGAGACTTAATTATATCCATGTTTCCTAAAGCAAAGGCATATAGACACTGTGGGTGGTTCTTGAAACCCTTCCCTCCCTCTTCTTGTGGTGGTCCCTAAGTATCTGGCAGCAGGAACAGCTCACATATATGACTGCAAACGCCGAGTCTGAAAATCATATATTCTCTGTGTTCCCACGGCACAAAGCTCAGTTACGGATGTCAGCATAGACAAGCAATCACCACAATTACCATGAAGCTTCCAGTTGAATGAAAAGTCATTGGAAAGGAGAAAACCATAGAGGAAAAAGGAAAAAAAAAGTTCAGATGGAGAAAAACAGAACGAAAGAGAAGCTCATATTGATTGTGCTGCACCGACAAAAAGATGCAGCTAATGTCACCAATGCATTAATTCACTAAAGAGGGGGCTTAAAAAAGTGTCTTGGAAAAATATCTAAATTACTTTTTGAAAACAAGAGTGAAAAAGGTTGAAAACAGCTTGCTTCACCAATATCTATTATGTCCTTAAGCATATATGTGATAAGATACTACTTTTTTTCCTTTGTTCAGAAAAATTAAGTAGATCTAAACTTTGATAACACTGAATAAAGTCTGAAAATCCAGAGGTGGAAAAGAGTTTGCCGTAATTTTCTAATATACCTTAGATAATGTATTCTGTTTTGTTACAACGTTATTTTAATGCCTTGACCAGAATAAATATAAATTGTAGATTAAGACAAAACATATAAGTTTACAAGAACAAAAATTAGAAGACACCAAAAAAGGTCCAAAGAGGACAATTTTTAATGTCATGAAATTCAAACAGTTTTGACCACAAGCTATTTTTACTTCAGAAACTGTTTCATCAAGATTTTCCTGTGGAAAGAGACTGTATTATCATCATTTTATAGATCACATACTGAAGTCAAAGAGACATTATGGCCAGAAGTATCCATTTTTTGGAGGGTGGGAGAGAAGAAGAGTAATGAGAGGCCTAGAACTTGACTTCAGAGAGTGCCTGGTGTTTGCACACTCAAAACCCCAGAGCTCTCACTGATTCCAAGTACAAGCAAGCAAGCTGTTCAGCAGAACACTCACATTGATCACTGGATTTTTCTCGTGCTCCTCTCTAAAATGGGTGGTTTTGTAACATTCAGCTTGCCTAGCATCACATATGAATAAACTCCCTAGGGGAGAAAGAACTGAATTCAATTCCCAAAGGCAGTAACCAGCTGCCTAAATTATAATACTTCCTGAAGTACATTCATTCCCCATCCATCATTTCAACAATCAGGACAATGATTTTTCACTACACAGCCCTGACACTGAAGCATGCCCAGATTGTGCAGGAAGACAAAAGTCTCACAGAAAACAAAGGGAGATGAGAGGTGGAGAGTGATTATAAGCTATATAATGATCAGTGTGCATGTGTATGGAAATCAAGATTGTACAGGCAGTCTACAACTCTGACACCTCCTAAATTTCAAGTATTCAACTTCAAATGGATACAACTTCTTTATAAGAAAAACATTTATGCATAGTTTCCCAGGCTTCCAAAAAATGCTTGCAAATTAAATTCTCATATGCCCATAAAATGGCTAGAAACAGATCTACAATCTCCTCTGCATTTTGAACTGATGGAGCATCTATTGACAGAGGAAGCTTGTTAAACTCTTGGTGAACTAGTATCAGACAGAAAATGAGTTGACTGAGTGTGTTTCACGGAGACTTCAGCAGCACAGATGTGCTAACGTTCTGTAGTCTCAGGAATATAGTCCACTTGCTGGAAAAGGGAGAAGTATGTCCTCATTATGGCTGCTAACATTTCTATAGGCAAAACTCAAAAGTGGCACTATGCAGTCTGGTGAGTTAGTGGGGGTTTTTTTAATAGCTCAAAGCTGTATTAGAGCATGAATACTTAATATGGTGCACACTACATTTGAATAGTGAGTAAGATGAGTGGATTAAGCCAAGCAAGAGAATAATCAAAGTTCACTTATTGGCTAAGTTGAATCATCAGTGAACAGAGTATGACAAACTGAAGCAGTCAAGCCTAAACCAGTGCTGCCCTTCACACCTCCTAAGTGCACTGACCTTACCCGTGCATGTTGCTCAGCAGTAAGAATCACTGCTGTCATGGGCATCCATCTTTCCAGGTCATTTTCCATAAGTCTGATCCTTTCTCTATCATCCCTCCATTTTGTCCTAGTTCTGCTTCTTTCCTGATGTATCTCCTAGGTCTTTTTTTCTTTCCATGTTGTCATGCTTAATTTTCTACTTTGTATTCCTGTCTGGGGTGCAGCCTACTTGTGCAGCCTACTTGTACAGCAAACCCTGAACAAGTTTTCCCCAGCCCCTTATCTGACTATCTCCAACTCCACCTAACCACTTATCCACCTGCATCTTCTCATTCCGCCAGTGCAAACTGCCCTTCTTTTCAATTTTTGACTCAATTTGTTTCTCCAAATGGGTCTCCAGACCATCCAAATCACTTCACCAGTAGGACTTCCACTCCCATTCTTTCACAGATGCCTTGCACAATCTCAGTGTATGATCCACATACAATATGCTTCTTTTTCTCCCTCATCCTTTTATCATCTCCTATCCCACTTACTCTGTCCAGGTGTTCCCAGTTATTATGCCAGTTTTTGGCTTTTGCCCCAATCTCTTTCATCCTGCCACATTGCTTATAGTCACTCTCCCCATCACATTTAATGACTCCCAGATCTGTCATTTTCTTCCAAATTACTTATCCGCCTCCCCCTCCACTGGTTCTATGTATCAGTCTACACCTACACCTCCTCAAGAGTTCACATTATTTTCTGCATTTAGCTCAGACAGCTTTCCTTCTGTTACCTACCAGAAGAGGAGGAGAATACTCAGAATATAAGAGGAACAATTGAACAACACAACAATACAAAGCTGCATTACAGGAGAAATTCTGCTGAATCCTAGATAGCTCACACCCATGTGAGGGATCAAATTTATTAAACTCTAAGTTTGCAAGTTGCTCAATAGAATCTTAAGGATCAAAACTAGGCCAAATTTAAGCAGATTTATACAGGAACGGACAAGTGTATTTCAATACAAGGAAACCCTTCCGCCAAATTTCAAATCGCTTCTCCTAAGGGTAAGGATAGTACCTATTTTAGTTTCTTTACTTCCAAGTAATCACCATTTTTTGCCCCCATTGAGTAAACAGTATAGGTTGTTTTTTTTTTTTAGCCTGTAACAAAAATGAAGCAAGCAATTAGCACACCACATTTCTATTCTGCTATTAAAGGTTGGCGCATTTGTCGACACCTGAAAAGAAGGCCTACTAATGGGAAGTATCAAGTCACTAGTACTCAGATAAAATTACATTACATTCACGCTTTTAATAAAGGCAGTAACTAGCACATTCCCCATCTGCAGCTTTAGCAAATTCACATAAAAATTATCATCCATTATATCCTGGAATAACTTTTGCATAAATGCTTTTTGAGTTTCTTTCATTTAATTTGTGCTCTGGACTGCCTTCCAAGTCAAAATGCATCATCCTTCTTACTCTTGTTTTTCTAAATTCTCTTTGTACCTTTTCACTAGTGTCTGTAGGATCCTCACACTTAAGTACTTAAAGATGGTTAAACTTGCTTGTGCTAACATTCAAGTATCTATTTGTGTCTTGCTTTATCTTTTGGACAGTTAGTTGAAAGCATTTCCTAAAATTATGCTCTGAAATTTATAGTAGCTTTAGGAAAAATGGACACATGGCTAGCAACATTCCATATTTTTCTTACATTTTGTTATTTTTGGAAATCATTCCCATGTGTTAGCAAGTATTAAACAGGGGTAAAAAAATACTTTTGAGATTTCAGTCGATCTTTTCTAAGATCACCACACAAAGAAATCCATGACAACAATTTTGAATTATACAACTTCTGTGTACAACAACGTCTTACAGATTTTTACACTGATTTCAAATTTAGTGCTTTACTGTCAAAAAGGTACTGATATTACACCAATAAATTCTGTGCCAAGATCTTCTCTAGAATATTAGACATTTCCCAAAACAAATTGCGACTGAAAAAAAAAGTTACCCATCTACAGGTACTGGTAAGACAACAGCAAGAACAAGATGAAAAACATTTCACATTAAGTAATTTTGATCTTAATTTGTAACTTTTACATTTATCCCATCTAAAAAGTATATCACAGTTCTAATAGTTGTAATCTTTGAGGCTAAAATAACATCCAGAAATGCTTATTTTTCTGAATAAGTGCTGATCAACAAATGCTATTGTATGAAATTATATAACACTACATGAACTAATTGATATCTTGTCACACAATGCTACTTAGTAACCATATATAAACTAATACATACTTATAACAATCTCCTCCTTTTCTGGTACATTTTTAAAAGTTGGGCTTCAACAGAGAAAAAAGTATTCTGAAAACATCTTCCATTTCTATCAGTTTTGGAGTTTTACAATGAAAAGTTTATGCAATATAAAATTAAAGGTAACTTAAAATAAAACTTCTGTTGATGTTGCTTTAAGAGTATTTTTTTAAAACGCAGAAAATAACATGTGAATGTTTTTATTAAGAACAGCATGATGGCAAAGGAGTACACGAATTTTAAAATAAAACTTCCAGACATGAATTTTTCAGGAGTGCCTAAGGGCTCAATCTTACCCTCTTCAAACACTGCAGGTGATGTATAACGGGCATACTAAAGGGCCAGGAAGGAGTGAAATCTGAAACTCTGGTACTGAGACATAGTTCTACCTCCAAAATCCCCATATTAAAAAAATCCCAAACAATAAATCAACAGAAAAAATTATCTTATTGGACAAAAGTTATTTCTACAGTACCTTCAGGGGCGATAGCACTAGGACACACATCTTTTAGCAGATCTCCCAAAGTATGCAACTGTCCTCCTGAAGCAATTGGTCGAAATAGCTTCTGTATAAAAGGTCGCTCTGTTGTTGCCTGTTTTAATAACAAAATTGGCAAAAACAACAATTTAAGGACCGTGTAAATATGTAGTATTACTATTTGAGACAGGCAGAAGATAGGACAGAACAAGAGGCTGCAGCAGAAGAAACATCTGGTATTTCCATTTCTTCCCCCCCCCCCCCCCGCATTCCATTCGTATCATGAAATGCAGGGGAGTTTTTGTTTGTTAGCAATTCAAAGTAAATTGACGCTCCAGAAAACTGTGAAGATAATTTATAAAGAGTCACAGATACAAAAGTGTTAATTTTTTTTTTTTTAATTAAAAAACCCCACTTCTGTTATGGGAATAGGATCTGCTTGAAGATAACATTTCAATATATTCTTAATTTAAGTAAAACAAGCAGTGAACACAAACTTAGGAGCTCAACAAACGCCTATACATTTTGCCAACTCAAAGCAATACTGTAACAAATATCCGGTATCTTCTGCAATAGTCTATCTTCCTCCTTTTAGAAACACATTAAGCACTTTCAATGGCAAACAGGTACTAGCTCAAGCCAGGTGAATTTTTTCCAGTAGATTTTATGTTGAAAAATTCAAACTATTTCAGCCGCAAGAAACAGAGTACAATTAAAAAAAGAAAAAAAAAAAAAAAAGAAAAAAGTATTGCGCTTTGACAGACCACCTGGAGTCTTCTGCCTACTTAAGGAATTATTCAGATGTAAAGAACATATATGCCCCACTTCTGCTGCAGATATGCACAGGAATTCAGAATGATTTCAACTATGGGTCCTGTTAGATCTTGCACATCATTATAATTCCTTTTGGAGACAAAAAAAGCAAATCGACTGGGAGTAACTACTGGTAGTCACTGTCCACAACACAGGCAATAAAACTCCCAATGCTGCAGAAGAAGAAAAATAGCTTATGGAACCTACAGACGCACTTATTTAAGAACTGTGGTTATGTTAAGGTAATCCCCCCTTCTTTGAGTTTCTGTATAAGCAATCCCAGGGTCAGCAAGCATCTGATATCGAAAGGACAGAAAAAGTTTTTTTTTTTCCTGACAGCCTGACCTTTCTCCCCAAACTGGGCATCTGAGCCAGAAAACAGAAGTTAAAAACCTCATATTCAACCAACCCCAAAATTTTAATCAAGCTCTAAATTGTTGCTGACAAATTTCTGCTAGCAGCTAACTCCAGAAAGCAGCTGATGTGGCCTGCATTACGGGTGACCGGGCTCCAGTAAATTACACTTTCATCACATACTATCTTAACTGGAAAAAGCAATACAAGCCACTGCCCCTTCCAAATCTAGTTTCCTACTGCTCAGAAAGTAGTTCCTGTCCTACTATGGTAATTAAAAAATAGAAACAAAACAACACAACTCAACATCAAGTATTTTATCTCCCGGTGGAGGTTTTTGGAAGAAGAAAAAACAAAAAACCAAGTATAGTAAAAAAATGTGAAAGTTAAAAATTAATTTTGAAAGGACGTTACAATGTGGTCTCTGTCGCCTACCTACATGAAAAGCCACAAGCAGTAGATTAACCATGACAACTTAATTGTCATGTCTCTGAAACTGCAGAGCAAGAAGTCTTTTCGTAGGAGCGTTACACTACCTCCGAGTAATTCCAGGGCAGTACAGTGCAGAACTGTTGACACACAGCTACTTGTTATTTCTTGCCAACAGTCTCTAAAAATGGAAAAACAGTCTTTTTCCAGTTTTTCTTATGAAGACTGATCAGGAGCAGCTAACTAGCTGCTGTAGTCAATTCTCTATGTCCTCAGGGTAGCAGAATGTGGATACAAACAGCGCTAATGAAACGTCTGAACATTTGAAAAATGATGGGAGGCACACAGCCAGCATGATCCACCTCAGACAGATCCACTTGAGAAGTGAACTCTGGAACATTACATTGAAGAAGTGTACCTCCAAAACATTAAAACAAAACAAAAACCAAAAAAGACAAAACCCCTTAAACATTGTTATAGCCAAAACAATTTTCTATCAAGTTTATTTAAAAAAAAAACCCAATTATTCACAGAAGTCTAATCACAGCTCCCAAGTGCTTACCATCTGAAGTAGCAGAAGTGGAAATAAACACCAGAAGGAGGATGCAGGCAAAGGTGGTTATCATCAATAGACTTTTAAGAGAAGAATTTCCCAAGTGCACACTGCAGTTTCTCATTATTTATTAATAAATTACAATCAATTTTTTTCCTAGTTATCATAATTTAATGCCAAGACAGAAAAGCCGAAGATGTATTTTCTAAAATCTCTCACATAGTTGCCAACTGCTGCAAAGCTGCTATCATGAAACATTATAGAAAATTAATACAATTTTATATTCTAAGTGTTGAGCAATACAGATGTGGTAATTTAAATAAAAATCACTGGTCTCCATCAATGTTAAAATGACAAAAGTAACTGCACGCTGTTTATACAAAGATTGTAGTTCACAAATATAATCCTACAGGCAGACTATTACCCCAACATGCTTACACTTCTTCCCTCCTATGCAGCAGATGCTTTATGCATTAAAAGAGTGAAAAGAAAAGTCCCATCCTACAATCTAGAATGTCTATAGGATAACTTTTCAAAGTATCTTAGTCATTCAGGAGCATAAATCATTTTAGAAAAATCTTACCATCACCCCTTTTGAAGTGTGGTAGCTAGTAACATAAGCCCAACTTGACTACAGCTTTCTACTCTAGTATTCACTACAACAACACATGAAGGAATAGCCAACATGAGTAACCGCTTACATAATGTTGTGTTTTGTACAATATTTGCTTAATCAATCATGCAAAACAGTACTATCTGTAATCTAACCCAAAGACATCACTGCATAGCTGTTAACTGATCATGATTTTAAATAATCTACATCAGGCCTAAAGCATGTATTTGTACAGCACCCATCATTTTTTCCTGCTAAGATTATCATAGCTTCAACAGAATATAGCGCTTTTAAAATTATTTTATTTTACAGTTTAGCCCCAACATAGCTGTGAGCTGTTCAAAAGACACTGGATGCATTTGCAGGATACAACAGGTGAGAGTCAATCAGTAATTGCTGATGACAGATCTATAAAGGAAATGCCTTCAAGTATATGAGCATATGAAGACAATCACCTGGCCCAAAATTTGCAGTGCATTTTACACTGATCATGTCCACCATTTAGTATCAAATCATCAAATTTTTATGAAAGCAAATATTCAGTTCAAAGTTAATATATTTTCTAGAAAGTTGGACTTATTCATTGCCACTGAAATTTCTCATTCTTCTATACTACTATGTAGCACCACAAATCTTGTGCTTTGCAGAACAAATGAAGAGTTTACTCTTTTTAAAGAAAGTTTAAACAGTAACAGTGAAAACAAAATTATACTACAGTGAGAAAAAATAGATTAAAATTACCTATTATTCAGGTATACTGTCATTAAGAAGAGTTATAGGTGAGGGAAAGTTTTAAGAGGCCCTTTAAGGCAGCATAAAGCCTCACAGGATCAGAGACAAGCTATATAGTTACATATTATGCTAGCAATTATAACAACTCTTTCTTCCCTATCATCCTGCCAAAAAAAGAGTAGTCAGCTTGCCTGGTCCTTTTCAGAATCAACAGAACATCAAACACTGCATAAAATCCACAATTTAATTAGTCAGATATTTTATACAGGATGCATCTTAAAATGAAAAACATAACTCATGAACTGCTGGGTTTTAATTGGGAAAAATCAGAGTTACCAGTATTTCCATCTAGAGGAAGGGATTTGGATTTTCTGCCTAAACACTCTGTTGCTACTCTAACAGTATTCAAACAAACAAAAGTTACCATACATATTGAACCCACAAAGTAAAAAAAGAATTCCTTACAATTCCCACATGTGCATAAGCTAGCAGCCTAAAAACCGTAAAACTTGAGACTTCCCTACATACTCCATCATATTTTCAGTAACTTGTCAAGTCCATAGTCTGTGCTGTTTTGTAATGAACCACTTTACACTAAAAAAACCTCCCATAATTTAAATTTATCATTTTGTTTAAACTGATTTAAACTCAACCAAGAAGCTTTAAAAGTAATAATAAGAGTTTGCATAATGATTTAAGTTATTTTATATAAAAAGGAAAGTACAGGAAAATTAACTACTCCCTGAAAATAAAATTAATTATATAAATTTTATTAAATATTTACTCAAAAGTACATTTTCCATGTACTTTCTAAGATGTTTTCTGCTTTGTAGAAATGTTTTCAATTAAAAATCTCAATGCACAATGAAAAAGTGATAATTGAAAAGATGACGAGTTGCTGTAGTCACAGAACCATCACAATACCATGTCTGTCCGAAAGCAAGATACTGCACAGTCCCATCTGAAATACTGCTCTTTCACTGGTGCCGAAACACAGTTTTTCTGCTGGTATTTCTGGGTGTGTATCTTTGGCTTCTTCTTGCCTAATATTAGACCAGAACCACCCAGTACTTCATTGTGGAAAAGGCACAAGCAATGTTTCTGTTTTGGGTTGGTTTGTTTGTTTGTTTTAAAAAAAAAAAAAAAAAGAAAAGACTCCACTCACTGGAAACTAGACAGGCAGGTTATCAGACTGAAAGATTAAATGGAAGTGGCAGGAAAGACAGAAAATCACCAATAAACTCAGGTAAAAAAGAACTTGTGTCAGAATGAGAAAGAACTATTTCTGGGTGCGTAGAAAAAGCAAGTTCTGAGGACCTAGCCTAAGGTGGCCTTCCTGAACTTGCCCTTCCTCTTGTCCCAAGTTTTATGATTTAATAATGTTATCTACAATGGCTTCAACTGCTGCATATTTTGACTTTCATTCAGAAACTAGTCACATATTAAGAGGGGTTACTTGGCTCTTAAGATCGTTTCATATACCCTGATACCTGCAGAATAGGCCAATAAAAACATTTGACTGGCTTCTGGAAAAAATCACCAATGAATAAAAAATACCACATCAGAGAAAGCTTTTACATATGTAAACAGCTAATATTAGATGGCCAAAACAAGCCAGCAA